AGAGGTTGGATATCAGAGAGGGCGCGTTACTAGTAATTGTCGACAGCGGAAGAGGATCTGGTGGTAGGGAGGTCGAAGGTCAGGAGGACGTTGAGGAGATGCCAAAAATACGGCCAGGAACGTTGTTTTGGGGTAGCTTCTCGTCTTCTTCACGAAGAATAGGCAACATAATAAAATAACTGTGCACGTATCTTATTGGCGCTCGCGCAAGTATCTTTCGGAACAAGCCAAGCAAGCTGCCAAACAAGCCCTTCGAGAGTACCGGTATCCAAATCACCATGTCTGCTACCGTACCACGACGCGTCTGTGAGGGATGAACGGCCGAAGCGACGGCGAACGGCCCATGCTCCTCTCATTCTGAAGAGTGGCCATCATCAATCCAATCTTTCCGGTACCGGAGGAAGAAGCAACCGGAGGAAAGAAGGCGACACAACAGACCAAGCACCATGTCCTCCTCTGATATTGAGTCAACCCCCAAAAGGCAAAAGCTGCCTCCCGCCATTTCCCTCTTGTTCGAACAAAAAGATGTTTGGATCAATGGTATTCTTCCATTCCTGGGAATGGGCCACTTTGCGTTTGTGGGAGCCGTCAACAAGCAGATGAAACAGCTATATCAGGAGTATTGTGATTCTGTCAAGAATCCTCCCGATGTGTTTGTGGAAGCATATCACTCAAGGAAAAGACGCACTACTAGCTACGATACCAGCTACCGTGCCGCATTCTGCAATGTGGCATGCGCCGAGTACTGGTACTACAGTGACAATTCTGACACTAGGAGACCCCGACATGCCAGTGTTACCCAAGCAATTGCTAAAGTTGGAAGTCAACAAGTTCTTCAATGGTCGCAGGAGAAAGGATTTCCATGGGATGAGAATACTTGCTATGTTGCGGCTTTACATGGGCGCTTGGAGATATTAATTTATGCCAGACAACATGGCTGTCGATGGGACAAAAGAACTTGTAGTGTTGCTGCTGAACGTGGGCACTTGCATGTTCTGAAATGGGCCAGAGAGAATGGGTGCCAATGGGATACAGGAACATGTTCCGCAGCTGCTGGTGGAGGGCATTTGGAAGTATTAAAATGGGCAAGGGAGAATGGCTGCCCTTGGGATGCAGCCACCACCAGCAGGGCAGCCTTAGGTGGTCATTTGCATGTCTTGAAATGGGCAAGGGAGAACAATTGTCCATGGAATGGATCAACTTGCTTTTCCGCTGCATCCAAGGGGCACTTAGAAGTGCTAATATGGGCCAGAGAAAATGGCTGCCAGTGGCACTCCCATGCAGTGCACTCCCCTACAGCATGGGCTGCTGCCAGACATGGCCATTTGGAATGTCTGAAATATGCCAGAAGAAATGGCTGCCCTTGGGACGAGGGGACATGTGCTGGTGCAGCTCGAGGTGGATATTTAGAAATTCTGAAATGGGCAAGAACAAATGGCTGTCGATGGAATGTGAAGACTTGTATCCGTGCTGCCGAGACGGGGCATGTAGAAGTGTTAGATTGGGCCCTCAAAAATGGTTGCCCGATGAATCTAGACATCTGTGCTGGTGCTGCTAGATTGGGATACTTGAAGGCATTGAAATGTGCCAGGGACAATGGCTGCCCATGGGGTTCAACTACCTGCCACATGGCTGCTTCGGGTGGACACTTGGAGGTCTTGAAGTGGGCCCACGAGAATGGTTGCTCCTGGGGTGTCAGCACATGTCATGGTGCTGCTGGAAATGGACATTTGGAATGCCTGAAATATGCCCACGGAAATGGCTGTCCATGGGATTTTCAGACGTGTGATTTTGCCCGAATGAATGGGCATGCTGAGTTATTGAAATGGGCAAAGGACAATGGCTGCCCAGATACCGAGTAAACATAGACAGCTACTGTACTGTGCTGGCTAGCTAGTGACTAATGGCACTGGTCGCTCGCCACAAGAGATCCACATACGGGGGGATGATCCAAATGGAGATCACACATAAAAAAATTCAAACACAAAACAAACATTGATCCTGAATGATGTCACAAATTTCTCAGTGATATCTCTCATGTGTAAAATACAAGGAAGAAAAGACAAGGAAGAATGCAAGATTTTAACATTGGTAGTGATTTGTTGTACACATCCTCAGCCTTGGTTCTGACATAGTTGATGGCTTGCTGCTGGTACCGATATGGTGCTAGCGAATCCGAAACTTGTACCGCTTTATTTTCGATGCTTGCTTGGAATCATGATTGGGCCTGTGTTTTCTTGTTTTGTGCTTGTTCGTCTTGATGGAACTTCTTTCCTAAGGTCATGTCCAGAACCTTTCGTTATTGTTACCGCTCACATCTTTGTGCCAATTTTCGCTTGTCGTCTTGTTGTGGAACACTACAGTCACTGTCCACGCAGGCGCCTTGACTTGCTTTGTGGCCTTGTTTCAGGTCAACCCAACAAGGAGACAGGCGTGCAGTGAGGTAGATGCGGTAAATATTCTTTCTCATTTGAATACATGTAGAATTATTCAAAAAATCACTCTAGCCTTAGTATTACCTCAACTACCTTTTAAATTCATTCCAAGATCAGTCCCATTCGGTACCTGGGATCTTTGCTTCGTGCTGCGTGTTCACCTCCAATACACAAAACGTTTTTTGTTGTAGTAGCACCATGGCCGACGGTAACAACAACAACAACAATGCCCAGGCGCAACAGCCACTTCCACCCTTGTTACAGATCCAAGATATTGATGATTGGCTCCGATTCAATGGGCTGCGAGCAGCCGACGATGTAGGTCCGGCGGAATGTGGCTCCTTCCTGTCGGATTTGAATCGGTCCGAAGCACACGCCAAGCACGAAGCCCAAGAGGAGTATCAGCAACAAGTCCACGCCGATATTTTCAAGGAAGCCTTGAAAGCCGAAGAACAGCAACAATCCATGAAGCGCAAATTGTTGGAAGCGTGGAAGGGGGAAATATTGGAGATTGATGTGGGAGCAACCACCAAACCCTTTCGAGTCTCCTTGGCAGCCCTCGCGCAAGTCTGCGACACGGTCTTTACCATGGCATCGTCACGACGGTACATGGGGAATGCTAATAATGAGGAAAGTCCCGTGTTGCTTTCGCTGACGGATTATTCGGCAGACAGTGTGAAACATTTTTTGGATTTGGCGTTTGACAATCTCTCCATGGAGCAAATGCAGGACCAGTTTGTGGTGGACTGCTGTCATATCGCTCATTATTTGCAATGCCACAAAGTCCTGGAGGCGACCAACGAAGTCCTCCTGCGGCACGTGGATAGTGACAATTGCTTGTCGCTGTGCCAAATGGCTGATTCGTTGGGATTGACCGATCTGTTCGAGAAATCCCTCTTTCACATGCTCAAAGCACTCGATGACTTGGAATCCCAAGAAGCCTACGGAGATTTCTCGCCTGAATTAAAGGACCGCATTGGAGGCATTCGAGCCGTATTTACCAAATATCAATCCACCAGCATGTTCAAAGACGACAAAGACAATAACAACGGTAACACGAGAGCCAAGAGGAATCTCTACTTTACTTCGTTGGACGAATACATTGCCATTTTTGCCGAAAACGTACAGTACCACAGGGAGAGACTGGAAGAAGCCAAGGAACAGAATCAAGTCAATTTTAGCGCCTATGCCCAAGGCAAAATTGAAAAACAAGAATTGCGCGTATTGACACTGGAAGCCATGTTGCAGGAACAAAAGCGTCTGTTTGGAAGACAACAACGACAGGACAAGCGAGTGAGATTGTGACGAAAAAGTAACAACAATTTGACGAATAATAGCATCAACATCAATTGGCAAGAATTCCATGAATAGTGGGATTACAGAACAAACAAAAGTGCCAAATAATCCTCAGTGGTCAGTAGTTAAACTATCGTTTTCTTTTAAAAGTGTCTGGTTCTGACAATCTAATTTAAAACTATCCAAACGAACATCACTTCAGCCTCTCCCACTTGCATTACTGGTGAATTCCATGGCCTGATCTGGTTCGTCCAATGATAACGGAGGATCGCGCTGTGGTTGCTGATTCTGCATACAATGCAAATTGTAATAGAGCGCCAAGCGATCCTCTTGTCCGCGTTGTTTGGGCGTCTCAACGTCCAGTGGCTGAGGGCGAATGTGACGATGTTTCAGCAGCATTTGATCATGTTTGCGAATGGCAGGGTGACGAAGCAGGGGCCATAGTCGCCACACCAATTTGCCTTCCAAATAGGATAAAGGGACGGGTCCATAGTGTCTGGAATCCACCGATAAGAGAGGATTGTCGCCTTCCAGCCAAACATGACCCTTTGGAACCACCCGGGTGCTGTGATACAAACGGTCGTCATCATGGCGCTGTTCCGTCTGGGAAGTACTACTACCAGGACTCAGACTAGTAGTCGAATGGTGCTGTGGTGGTTCACCAGTGGAATCTCCCAAACCAGGGTCGTCCATGGTAGTAGATTGCGTGTCCCAGGGACAGGATGGATCCAAGCCTCGTGCTTGCAGAGTCTCCCAACGAACTCCCAGATCTGGACGGTGTCGATAATACTCGGCAAATTGACCGTATCGTTGCACGGTGTCTCCTCCCATGCCGACAATCCGTTTACAACTCCGTCTGTTGGTTTGGGGATCTCTCCAAATCACAATTTGACCGCATTGATACAGTGGAGACGGGTTCCCCGTCACAAACTCTTTGGCAGAATGATACAATTGTCGAAGGGAATCCCACATAGGAGTTGTGTGAAGCCAGACATCGCCCCAAGGATGAATCGAAGGTAGCATACTGGGCCCACTTAGTTGTTCCATTTGAAGGGGACAAAGGTAGGAGTAGAACATTTGGTTGCCTTCTTCTGAAAAGGCCACCACACAGCTCAAAACCAGCAGTGGTGCACCCCTTTGAGCTACTGTCGTCCATGCGTGCTGCCGATAGGCCCACAATCGGTCCGGATCATTGGTCCAATGCTTCTTTGGTGGTGTTAGCGTAGGCTTTGGTTCGTCTTCTTTGGCTTTGCCCCTTGCATTCTTTGGCGGGCGCTCCTGTGCTTTCTTATTGCGAGCAAATCCCCCTCCTTTGGTTCTCTTGAGGCCTCCTCCTCTTCCTTTGGTGGCAAGATACCGCCGTTGAAAAGGAGGGTTCACATGGGAACCCTTGAGGAGGAATGCCGGCTGCTTAATCCATTGACACTGGACAGAACAGGCAAGGGACCAAGGCCGCATCATGCTTCAAAAGTTTCTACCGATGATATCCTTGGAGGACGAAAGCTTGATAGTTGAGCTTCTGAACGTGCCTCTACTTTGTTGATTGTCGGCTGATTTCGGTAGCATCCAAAAATGTGGGTGAAGATAAGCCGAAAAGCTGGTTATCACTCAGAAACCCTCAGAGTTCTCGGAGTAAAACACTCTTCTTCTCGAGGGAAATCCAGCTCTGAAGAATCCCCAGATAGATGTACCGGTAGCCTTGGTGCCAATCTTCTTTGCAATAGCATCGGAATAAGGCTGAGATGCTCCTCTGGGCAACGGATGGATGCAAAAGATCGATTGTGCGTGGGGCTCGGGCTGTGCAAAAAAGCCGATAAGGGTTGGGGTTTTGGGTGCTTTGGGTGCAACGAAGCTGCTGTGTGGCCACCATCGGCGTCATTTTGGACTGGTATGTACCAGGTACTCGTACTGTTAGCTGGATGAGGTGGGGCGTCAACGGGCTTGTAATGTTAGTTGTAATGTTAGTTGTAGTGTTTGTTTTTGTTAGCTTTACGGTAGATAGTCTACAGATGATGTCATTGAGAGGTCAGTCCATAAGATACCACACCGATTAGCACCCCATAGCAGTATCAGTTATCAGTTCGCAAAAATGTTAGTGTCTATCTACTGTATCTCTAGCTTGGTAGCGCCCTCCTTTGACTAAACGACGAACACCACCATTTCCCCCACGGTTGTCACTGTCATATTTTTCAATCCCATCTTTTCCATCAATATCTGGAGTTCGCCGAAAAACGTTCCCGTGGGCTTCTGAGGGCAAGGAAGATGGGCCAAACGAGGGAGACCCAGAAGGAGAAATGGAAGGCTCAGTTGTGGATGGAAAGGGCGAAGGAAGCAAGGATGGATGGATGGAAGGAAACAAGGATGGATGGATGGAAGGATATACGGACGGGGATATCGAAGGAGCCAGGCTAGGCGAGATCGAAGGAGCCAATGAGGGGCCGAAACTAGGAAAAAGTGAAGGCTCCGTGGTTGAGGGAGCCGGGGAAGGAGATGATGTTGGTTGAGTTGAGGGAAACAAAGAAGGATATGTGGATGGTTGAGTTGATGGGCCTTGGCTTGGTGATATTGACGGCGCCATCAATGGGCTTGCACTTGGAGCCACAGAAGGAAGATATGAAGGTTTACTCGACGGTTGCCTCGAGGGTGTTGCGGACGGCTCTGATGTAGGAGGATCATCCGAAACGTCAGGAGCTGGAGTAGTTTGGAATTTTACGGGATCTATGCTGGCGTCATCAAAGTCCACAGGATCGCCAACTCCACAACCACATGGTTTATAGGCAACACCCTGAAGTTGTGAGCACATGTTTGGGACGATCTTGCCAGCCCTCCCAACCACCACGAAATCTCGGCAGGATCCCATACCCAAGTATAGCAGATTTAATATCATCGATGGTTCGGATGGAAACGTCTTGTCATCACAAATATCGCAAGGAGGAAAGGGTCCCGTGTGCTGGACTTGCGTAGCTGGATGGAGTGTTGGCAGTTGGTCGATTGGAGGCGGCTCGGCCTCGCCACAGCACATCTCTCGATATTTGATACGTTGCCAGGCACATTCAGCGCTGTCTCCTTCCATGGAAAACACAATTGAGGTCAGTTTCTGAGCGCAAGTTGTCCTGTACGCATCAACGAAGTAACCTGGGCGCTTCAACCCGTCCGCCCCTTTTTCACAGAGCAAGCAATCTCCCTCAGCGAACCCAACAGTTACGAAGAATAGCAGAAGCCCTACCCGAAGTGATCTCATTGTTCTCACCATCCCTTGTAATGTAGACGGAATAGCAATATGATGGCTTTCGGAACTAACAGTATGGAGTGGGGCGTTTACAGAAAATAAATTGTTGTGCAGAAGGATCTCCCATTCGTTTTGGCTTTTTGATAATTTGAAAAGTGTCTGGCTCGTTGGTATCTAAGTGTTGTTGTGGGAAGGTTACACCGATGGTTACGGATATTTAAAGCAATAGCGTTTTTCCGTGACAGCTCTTAGCCAAAGGCTTACTGGTACTTTGGTAATTAGGACGTCTTACTGCCACTGTTAACTTCAACTGGTACTTGTGCCCCTTTACAAGACTTGGGGAGTGATCGTCACATCGTTCACTCCATTCCCAAAAGGCTGCACGCTCTTGTGTGACACTGCCAAAAATACTGTACGGTACCGTACGGTACTTGGTGGTCAGCTCAGTCGTGGATACTGTGCTGACGGCCAGACGCAACCCACAACCAAGCCGCCAAGTGGTTGTGGGGTTGTGGTGGAGCGGGCTACCGCACCGGTAGTGGATTGTCCATCTAGCTAGTACCGGTACCGGTAGCAGAGAAAAGGGCGACCGCTGTATGCAGGTTCATTGTGATTTGTAGTGTGGAGAGCGTTGGAGATGATGCGACTGGCTTGTCCTCGTCATGGTTGTAGTAGAAGACTCTATTTGAGAAGTACAAGGGTATCACAACTTCCATCTCTACAAGCACAGTCAGCAAGATCCTTGTGGACGGTCCATTCCGAGACTGGAATAGTCTCCTGGAAGAAGGAACCTCGCTTTCAGACCATTATTGGATTGGAAATTCACTGTCAGCTGGATATTCCCACCAAACTATTTTCGTCATATCCCACCAGCAACAACACCACCACTAGTACCGCCAAACCCAACTCGTTGGTGCATCCCTTTGACGTGGCAGTTCCAGGATTTTTGCCCCACGCGTCCCAAGAGGCCGTCCAAGCTGCCATTTTGACCGCGGCAGCCTTGCAATGTCAAATCAACACCACCAGTCGATTCGAACGCAAACATTATCATTATGCCGATCTACCGTTTGGCTATCAAGTCACACAACAACGATGGCCCATTGCGCAGAATGGAAGTATCACTATCATGGCTCCGCACACCAAAAAGAAGAACAAGAAGCAACAACAACAATCATCATCACAACAGATAGAAGTTGGAATTGATCGCATCCAATTGGAACAAGACACGGGAAAAACCACGACGTCTCTCACACGCAATCACAACAACGGCAGCTGGTCAACGCGATCCTTGGTCGACTTTAATCGTGCGGGAGCGGCACTAGTCGAAATTGTCATGAATCCCGATATTCGATCCTCCCAACAGGCTGTCAGGACCGTGGAAACCATGCGACAATTGCTCCAACACATTGGAACATGCGACGGGAAAATGGAAGAGGGATCCTTGCGCGTCGATTTAAATGTCTCCATTCAACCCATCGATACGACGTTTGTACCCAACCTCCAAAATCGGGTCGAAGTCAAAAATTTGAATTCCTTGCGACAAGTCCAACAAGCGGCCGAGTACGAAGCAATGCGACAAGCCATGTTAGTGACGGAATCTACGATGGTCACATTCCAAGAAACCAGAACCTTTCATGTCAAATCAGGCCAAACCGTCTTGATTCGATCCAAAGAAGGAGACGAAGATTATCGATTCATGCCCGAACCGGATTTACCGCCAATCGTATTGGACGAAACGGTCTTGGGCGGACACAATTCCGTGTTAGATTATTTGGCCGAGTATCTCCCCGAATTGCCAGATGCGGCCAGAGAACGACTCGCACAAGAGTATCAGTTGGATGAGTACACGGCCCATGTCATTGCCGGGGATCCTCCGGCCATTCGAATCTTTGATCAAGCTGTGGTCACGGCACAAACGGCACTACTGCCCGACGACAATAGTAGTAGTAGTAGAGAAATTGCGCAAACCGTGGCCAAGTTCTTGTGCAATGATTTGTTTGCACTGATAAGAGACGAGGAAGATCGTCGTCGGGCATACGAAGGAGCCGTGGCGGATAATATTGGCGAGTATTCCAACATTACTGGTCCCCAGTTGGGGGAAATTGTTGTCCTGTTGCTCAATGGTACCATTTCCACGACCATGGCCAAAAAGTTGCTGGCTTTGTTGTATCAAGAGGAACTGGGCCAGAGTCCATTGGGAGTGGCAAAACGACATGGCCTGCAACTGATATCGGACCACCAGACATTAGAACGATTGTGTCACGAGACACTGGAACAAAATCCGGAACAACTGGAGCAATATCGTAGAGGGGGCAAGCACGTCGCAAAGATGAAAAAGTTCTTGGTGGGCAAGGCCATGTCGCACAGTCGAGGCAATGCCCATCCCGAACGATTGCACGAAGCCTTGGAGGCAGTCTTGGAAGAAGTGGCTCCTGGAGTGCAGTGATATTATGTGTACAATGATATAATGTACCGTAGAATGAACAGAGTCATTAAATCATGGCTGAAACAAAGCAGCCTTGTAGCCATCCATCCAAAATTAGATTGAACCATGTGGCAAGAAACCCTTCTCGGGAGGATTGCCCTTGGAGTTCTGATAACCAGCATGCTTAGTGATCGTCACATCGTTCACTCCGTTCCCAAAGGCTGCAGGCTCTTGTGGGACAATGCACTGGCTAGACTCCTATATGATGCACTTGCACATTGAAGAGTTGAGGTGCAGACTCGACTCCATCTGTGTAGAGGTGGAATGAATCGAATCAAATGAATGAATGGTCCAATCATTCAAATCAGACAGCTTCGGTCGGGCAACTATCGGGGACCCGACCAGCACGACCGAGGCGCCAGGTTGTGCAAACGATACGATACCTTAGCAAAAGTGTACTATGACATGTAGTACTCTATGATTGCACATCAGTCGGGAAGAACCCGCGAAATGAAGCCACAACTTACTATTAATTAAGATCTCTAGTGATAGGTTCAAGGGAAGATCCCGCTTTGGACGTCAATCGAGGCCTGGCACCTAAACTCAAGCACAATAGAAAATGGAAACGCATGCCTGACACTTGCTTTGAGACGAAAATGTACCGTACCTCCACTCGTGTGAAACTGATTATAAAAAGGTGCGACCAGATCTTTTGCTGGGAGGGGAGAGGTCGGTCTTCCTTTGGTGCTTTTTGTCTTTTGCTCTCAGTAGTACAGTGGTACCGTGTTCCGTAGCGTACGATACGGAGCACATTGGTCCAGCCGAAGCCCTGTGCCGTCATCAAAGCCAAGGAAGCTGTTAGAGCTGCTTCATGAAAAGCCGATAGAGCTGGCTTCAATCGTACGGCCCTCTGACCGAAAGCCGTTACAGCGAATCCAACAGGCCCAAATTTGGCCAGATCTTTCCCACATATTTCGTGCGAATTATGCCACAACGAGACCAGTGAGAAAGATCGAATTGTTGAACAGGTTCACTCTTCGTTTGTCCTGATTTTTCTCGTCTGACTTTTACGGGCAACCATGAACAAGCTCACGTATCTTCTCGTCCTCTTGGCGTTGTCTGTTCCTTTCTTGGAAGGATACGAGTACCACCCGAGCTCTCAAGAAGATTCTTCTCCTTCGGACAGCGATGGCAACACGTTCTATGGACGATTCCTTCGTGGCGCTCATCGTCGTCTGTGGGGTCCCAGTT